AAGATAAAATATATCCACTGGTTGGGGATTATAGAACGAGGGAGGGCATAGTCTGAGAATTAGGGCCAGACTGTTTAGAACAGATGTTAGGAAGCACTTCTAAACATAAAGGGTAGGAGGGGTTTAGAACTCTCTTCCACAAACAGCAGTGGATGCAGGATGAGTTGTTATTTTTAAATCCGAGATAGACACTTTTTTGTTAAGCACAGGTATTAAGGGTTAGGGGCCAAAGGCAGGCATGTGGAGTTAGGACAAAGGTCAGCCATGACCTTATTGAATAGTGAAATAGACTCAATGGGCTGAATAGCCTACTCCTGTTTCTTGTTTTTATTTTCATTCATATGTTGGACATGAGTCTGGCTGGCTGCGCATGGCATTTATTGCCTGCTCTTATTTGCCACTTAAGAAGGTGGTGGCGAGCTGCCTTCTTGAATCTCTGCAGTCCATGTGCTGTAGGTTGATCCACAATGCCCTGAGGGAGGGAATTCCAGGATTTTGACCCAGCAACACTGAAAGAATGGCTGATATATTTCCAAGTCAGGACGGTGAGTGGCTCAGAGGAGAACTTGAAGGTGATTGTGTTTCCATGAATCTGTTGCCCTTGTCCTTTGAAATGGAACTGGTTGTGGGTTTGGAAGGTGCTGTCTGAAGATCTTTGGTGAACTTCTCTGACTGCATCTGCACTTCTGTATTTTGTAGATGGCACTCACTGCTGCAACTGAGTATCAGTTGTGGAGGGAGTGGATATTTGTGGATGTGGTGCCAATCAAGTGGGATGCTTTGTCCTGCGAGCAGTCAAGCTTCTTGAGTGTTGTTGGAGCTACACCCATCCATACAAATGGGGAGTATTCCATCACACTCCTGACTTGTGCCTTGTCGATGATGGACAAGCTTTCGGGAGTCATGAGGTGAGTTACTCGCCGCAGTATTCCCAGCCTCTGACCTGCTCTTGTAGCCACTTTGCTCATGTGGAGAGTTCAGTTAAGTTTCTGGTCAATGGCAAACTCCAGAATTTTGATAGTGAGGGTGTTTAAATGATGGTGACACCATTGAATGTTAAGGAGCAATGGTTAGATTCTCTCTTATTAGCAATAGTCATTGCATGACATTTGTGTGGCGTGAATTTTACTTGTTCTTTATTTTTAATCCATATTTAGTTAGTCATTCTCAGAGGAATACAGTGTGATTAGACTCTGAGAATTCATACTGATTCACGTTTCTACTGGAAACTTGCACTCGACAGCACTGTTAAAAGAAATGTGACAATGTATGAGCCAAGTAGGCACCAAATATCATTTACTCTCAAATTTTAAAGAGCTTGCTAAGGGATACCACCTATAAGTATACTTGGCCCCACTGGACCATAGAACTACTCACTCATGGTTATGAGATGACTGGTAGGTGGCTTAACCTCAGGGTCCCCATGCCTCAGGGAGGGGAGAGGTTGAGAAAGAGGGTCCTTCATGGTAACCTCAGTCAGTTCAGGAATTGAACCCATGTAGTTGGCATCACTGCATTGCAAAGCAGCTGCCCAGACAACTTGGTTAACCTTTGAAGCTAACCTTTGAGTGGCTCAGTGGTTAGCACAGCTGCTCACAACACCAGGGCCCTGGGCTTGAATCCAACGTCGCGGAGGAGCTATCTGCATTGTGTTTGTATGTTCTCCCTGTGTCTGCATGGGTTTCCTCCAGGTGCTCTGGTTTCTTCCCACAGTCCAAAGATGTGCAGGTAGATTGGGCATGGTAAATTGCTCATAGTGTGCAGGTTAAGTGCGTTAGCCATGGCAAATGTGGGGTTACTATTTGGAGGGTCGGTATAGACTTGATGGGCTGAATGTCCTCTTTCTGCATTGTAAGGAGTCTGTGAAGTTGCACACTGCTCTCCATACACAGTTTGTAATTTCTTACCATCCACAAAATATGAAACAAGATTGATATATGTTAGCAAGGAATGCAAAACTGGACTCTGTTGTGTTCCACTCCAATTCCACGCCTCAACCCAACAAAAAAGAACACAGTTCATAACAAAGTGTGGAGCTGGAGGAAAACTTCAGGCCAGTCAGCATCTGAGGAACAGGAAAGCTGACGTTTCAGGTCAGGGTCCTTCTCCAGAATCAGGCCCGAAACGTCAACTTTCCTGCTCCTCTGATGCTGCCTGGCCTGCTGTGTTCCTCCAGCTCCACATGGTGTTATCTCTGACTCCAGCGTTGGCAGTTCTTACTATCTCAGTTCAGGTTACTTGCCTGATTCTTGTCACTAAGATTATTTGTTTGGCACTCGACATTGCTCCCGTCTCTTTTAATCAGCTAGTTCTGGCCCATACTTGCAAGTCTGCTGTATTGCACTAATGTGTAATAATGCCTTAGAGAAGACTGTCTACATTAGCAGCATTAACTTTCTCTGTGACTTTGCTTATAAAGTCCAAAACATAAAATAGGCAAAAGATGTTCCCTTTAGGAATCCACACCAGTTGTCTTCAATTAGCTGACATTTGGCTATGTAGCTGGTAATTTTAGCCCGAGTTAGTGTTTCTCAAGTTCTTCAGTCCTCTTGCACCACTAGAATGAAAAACTGAGAGGTTACTGTTGGTATGCAATATACAGTTTCCCTCATTTTCAGTGGATTCAGAGCTGGGGAGTTGTAAAAGCTAACTCCCCTCTACATTGCTTCCTCATCATCAATTTCAACTGCTTCTAGTGACTGAATTTACCAAATGGGTTACATTTTCTTCTTTGAGGAAGGAACGAGGCAATGTTTTGGGGTTAATACTTCAATGCCCATTACTTCCACCTGCGATTCCCATTTTTCGTCCTGTAACAGCCACACTGTGCAGCTTATTCACAATTTTGCTATTTATACGCCTACATCGGATTCTTAAATTTTCTTCTAGGATACCTGTCAATCTTTTTTCATGAAGCATCCTTGCTTTTAATTTATTCACTTGTGGGAGTGGGCAATGCTGGCTGTGCCCAGCATTTATCGCCGTGGTCCCTACTAGCTGCTTTGAGAAAGTGACAGTGAGCTGTCTTCTTGAACCGCTGCAGTCCGTTTGCTGCAGGTATACCCACGATGACTTTAGGGAGGGAATTCCGGGATTTTGACCCAGTGACACCAAAGGAAGAGCAGATATATTTCCAAGAGTGGTTTGGAGGGGAATTTGTAGGGGTGGTGTTCCCATGTATCTGCTGCCCTTGTCTGTACAGCACAGGAACTTAGAACTGTACAGCATAGGAACATAGAACTGTACAGCACAGGAACGGGCCCTTTGGCCCATGATGTCCTTCTAGATGAAAGTGGTTGTGGCTTTGGAAAATGCTGTCTGAGGGTCTTGGGTGAATTTCTGCAGTGTGTCTCGTAGATGGTACACATTGCTGCTACTGAGCATCAGTCGGGGAGGGAATGGAAGCTTATGGATGTGGTACCAATCAACAGGGAGCTGATTTGTCCCTGGATTGTATCCATCATATTGACATTTGATCAGTTTTCCCCCTCCAACCCCATCATTTGCCAAGAATCAATTCTAGTATTTGGTGGTCTGTACACATTCTGCTGTGCAAAGCTCTCCCAAGCTCAGTTCAGCAACTTCTGCCCCTCAGCACCCTTTACACTACTACAATCTCAATCTATGCTTGGATAATTAATGCCGCCCATTTTAACTCCATCCATCTTTGTTAATTGTGCAAATGTGTTCATCTAAATCACTCCCTCCAGTTGCCGAACAACGCAAAGGAATGTAATTTCACATTTTAAGTTTGCATTGGCCATCGCTTCAGTCAAATCGATTTTGTTATTGGCTCATTCTTTCTCCACTACCTCATGGAACTACTTCATTCTACCAACCTTTTACCCTTCCCTATCTCTCCTGAACATTTCCAATCCAGGTATATTTAAGACCCAGTCCTTCCTCCATTGTGCCAGGGCTCTGTTATTACCATACATCATATTTCAGCATGCACCACCAACTCACCCATCTCAATGAGCTCAGCTGGTTTGACCAGTTGGTTAGCAATGCAGAGTGACACCAACAGCATAGGTTCAGCTCCTGTGCTGGCTATAATCACCACGAAGGTCCCACTATATTCACTTTGATTTGTGGCTCCCAGATTAAACCCAGCACCAGTTGTCTCTCTCTAATGAGAGAGAGAGCAGGACGATAGTGGCTTTACCTCTACCTAATTGCCACAATCTGTGCAATCAAACAGTCCCTCTCCTGGTCTCTCTCCCCTCTCCCTGTCTCTCTCTCCCCCTCTCCCAGTCTCTATTCTTCTCTTCCCCTGACCCCCCACTCTCTCTCTCTCTCTCTTTCTCTTTCTCCCCCCCATCCCCTGTCTCTCCTTTGCTGTTTCCCTTCCTCTCCCTCTTCCACTCGCTCTCTCTCTCCCACTGTCTCTCTCTGTTGCTCTCCCTCCCTGTCCTTCTCACTCTCCCTGGCCCTGGCTCTCTCCCTCTCCCTGCCCCTGTCTCTCTCCCTGATTCTCTTCCTCCTTCTCTGTCTTCCTCCCCAATCTCTCCCTCTTCTTAGAGTCCCACCTCCTGTCTGTCTCTCCCTCTGGTTCCCTCTTTCATCTGTCTCTCTCCCTCGCTCTGTCTCTCTCTGTTGCCTTTCCTCTCTCTTTCTCTCTTCCTGTCTCCCTTCCCCTGTCTCTATCTTCCCCTCTCCTTGTTTCCCTCACCTTGTCTACCCCTCTGTCTGCCCCTCTTTGACTGTCTCTCTCCCTCTCTCTGTCGGTCTCCCTCTCACCCCCCCTCCCTTTCTGCCTCCTTCTTAGTATCCCTCTCAGTCTCACTCCCTCTCTATGTCTTGCTCTGTATCTTTCTCTTTCTCACACACACACCATCTCTTTCCCCCGCTCTCTCTTCCTCTCCTTGTCTGTGTCTCTCTGTCCTCTCTCTCTCTTTTCTTTGCCTTTCTTTGTCTCTGTCTCACCCTTTGGGATGAAAGCCAGTTCAACCTTGCATAGGAAGGAAGTCATTGGGTATGTTTGCAAAAACTAGACTTACCATTCATTCTGCTTGGAAAGCGACGTTTATATCTGTAAAACAAACAAAATGAGCAAGTCTTGTGTCCGGTGTAGCAATAACACGCAAAGAAACACACTTTCATCTTTTTTGAGGGGGCAAGGCAACATTGGCGTTGCATTTTGACAGCCTGGCAAATCGTACTCCTCATCATCAAGCACAATAAAAATTGGGCATTTATTGCCCATTCCTATTTGCAGAGGGCAGTGGAGAGTCGACCATCTTGCTGTGGATTGCACTGAAATCTTGTGCAAGATATCACAAAGAAATAGAGGATATCAAATTGATTTACATTAACAACAGCAGCCTTAGCACGACCTTTTTCAAAAAAACGCTAATGAAAATTGTTGGCTTTTTCCAATGACTAGAAATCAGTTGGTCTGAATGCGACCTTATTTAAGTATTGATAAGTTCCATATTTGCATTGCAGGCCCTGCAAAGAACATACAATTTCCCCAACCCCTTCAGAAAATTGATGGAAGAGTGTACGCTGTTTTCAATTGGGTGACAGTTTTGCAGATATATTAGAGTGCTGTAGTTATAGAGATCCATTGCAACTTCAAAAAAAGCCCTCCAACTCACTGAGTCTGTACTAGTCAAAAATAACCACCTTACTATTCTCTAATCCCATATCGCCAGCACTTGGTCTCTAGCCTCAGCATTGCAAGTGCACATCTGAAACATTCTTCAATGTGATGAGGGTTTATTACTCTCCCACCCTTACAGGCAGTGAGTTCCAGATTCCCCACCATTTTAATCTGTGAAACATTTTTCCTCACATCCCCTCTAAACCTCCTGATCCTTACCTTCAATCTATATCTCCACCCCCCATCACTGATCCCTCCATCAAGAGTGAAAAGTTTCTTCCTGCCTACCCGATCTACACCCCTCATCATTTTATACATATCAATCATGTCGCCCCCCTCTCTCAACCTCCTCTGCTCCAAGAAAAACAACTGTCCAATCTCTCTCCATCACTGAAACTCTCCAGTCCCAAGGCAACATCCTGGTATATCTCCCTCTGCAGCCTCTTCCAGTGCCATCACATCCCTGTTAGAATGTAGATTCCAGAACTACACACAATATTCTCGCTGTTTGGCCTAACCAACGTTTATACTGTTCCACCATCTCGGCTAATAAAGGCAAGAATCCCCATATGCCTTCTTAACCATTTTATCCACCTGTCCTGATCCCTTAAGGGACCAGTGGACATGCACACCAAGGTCTCTCTGGTCCTCAGAGCTTCTCAGGGTCCCACTGTCCATCGTGTATTCCCTTGCCTTGTTTATCCTGCCCAGGTGTATCCCTCACATTTATAACTACAGCATTATGCTTGAGGAAATACAAGTGAAACTGTATTGCATCCATTGCATGTAATGCATAAAGCAGTTCCATGGATTTCAATTGAACATTGAGGTACTATTCATAGACGAACAAAAATAACTGCAAATGACTTTGACTATGTTCCAGTTCAATTAAACTTTGAAAATACATTCGTACAACATTGTGCATTTTATGCCAATAATAGTTTGAGTCATTTTAATTCAATAATTACTCCCTGGCTGAAACAGTTAGTCATTCAACTTTCATTGGGAACACGTTTGTAAAGGTGGCTAAATTTTTTCCTCAATTATTGTTTTAGCAAGTGAATACAAATTATTACAAAACCAAAAGAACTGCGGATACTGTAGAACTGAAACACACAAAAACAGAAGCTCAGCAGGTTTGTCAGCATCTGTAGAGAGAAAAATAGAGTTAACATTTCGAGTTCAGTGACCTTTCTTCAGCGTTCTCTCCACTGACAATGCCAGACCTGCTGAGTTTCTCCAGCACTTTCTGTATATTACATGAATATGTATCAATTTTCCTTGCCCCCTTTCTGAAAACTACTCTCAAACATCAAAATTACACTTACACGTTGCATCGTGTTCTTCCAACTTTGTAATTCCATCGGCTGTGATGCTCTTTCTGTAAAAATAGATATAAAATACAGCCTTGCTGCAAAGTTTGACCAATATTGAAGCTTATTAATTGTACACGCATGTAGGAAAATATGTATCATAGTGATTATTTTACCATTATATACTTTGCACACAATTTGAATATCACAACTAACGAGTGAAGTAATATTCCTACCTCTCAATATTATGTCTTTTGCCTTGTGTTGCTGAAGAAAAAGAGATAGTTTCATAAATAGTATCTGAGCTATCCATGTCCCCTCATCATTTTAGACATTTCTATCTTTTCCCCATCCCAATTTTCTCTGCTCTAAGGAAAACAGTTGCAGTCTATCCAATTTCTTCCATCACTAAAATTCTCCGCCCCAAGGCAACATCCTGGTAAATCTCCCTCTGCACCCTTTTCCAGTCCTATCTCACCCTTTCCAGAATATGGAATCCAGAACTGCACACAATACTCTCGCTGTGTGGCCTGACCAACGTGTTATACTGTTCCAGCATCATCTCCCTGCTCTTAAACTCTAGCCTTGGCTAATAAAGGCAAGTATCCTTGGTGAAGAGATCAATGACAAGGTGCATTGATTTGAGGTAAGGGGCAGGAGATTTAGAGGGGATGTGAGGAAAAGAAATTCACCTAGAGATTGATGGGGAATCTGGAACTCACGGCCTGTAAGGGTTGTAGAGACAGAAACCCTCATCACGTTGAAGGCGTATTTAGATGTGCACTTGTGATGCCATGGCTCTAGGGCCAAGCGCTGTGTTAAATGGGATTAGAAGAGTTAGGTGGTTAGTTTCTGACCAGCATAGTCTTAATGAGTTGAATGGCCTCTTTTCTGTGCTGTAGACCCTCAAGGCTCTTATGTTCATGTGAGCTTTCTTTCCATATTAGTTCAAATATGTTTTTTTTAATTCATTCATTCATTTGGTGAGGGCATAGTTGGCTAGGTGAGCATTTTTTGCACAGAGGTCAGTTAATAGTCAACCACATGTAGGCCAGGCCAGGTAAGGATGGCAGTATCCTTCCCTAAAGGAACAAGATGGACTTAGTGAGCCCTTAGTGAACTAGATGGACTTTTCTGACAATTGGCAATGGATTCGCAGTCCTCATCAGACTCTTAATTCCAGATTTGTATTGAGTTCAAACTCCACTATCTGCCGCAGTGGGATTCAAACCCAGGTCCCCAGAACGTTACCTGTGTCTCTGGATTAACTAGGCTGTCCCTCTCCCAAATTTGAAAGGCCTTACACAGGCTTTGTTTACCTTTGTTGACGATGAAGAAAGATGTTAGCGTCACAATGATTAAAACGATAAGCAAAGCACCACATGTCAGGTCAACATATAGGCATAACTTCTTTTGAGCGTCTGTGCAGTGAGAAGTTCCAAAAAAACATAATGGTAAGATTTCATCTGCTACAATAGGACTTGATCATTCTCATTACATAATTAAATCTGGATGATATAATGAGCATCTTCCATTGGCTAGCTAGAGCACAATGTGAACAAAGCAAAACAAAACTTGATGCTATATTCTCTTGAATGCATTAGCGCCGATTATGTTTTGTGGTCTAATGACCACACAGGAACACAGGAATAGGAGTAGACCATTCAGCCCCTCAAACATGTTTCACCATTCAATGAGGTCATGGCTGATCTGTGGCCTGGCTCCACATACCTGCTTTTGACCATTATCCCCTTAATACCTCTGCTTCATGAAACTTTATCTCTCTCAGATTTAAAAATGATGTGGAGGTGCCAGTGTTGGACTGGGGTGGAAAAAGTGAGGAGTCACACTACACCAGGTTATAATCCAACACGTCAATTTGAAATCTCAAGCTTTCAGAACACAGTCCCTTCGTCTGGTGAAGTGAGACAGAAGAGCGCACAGACACGGAATTTATGGGCAGAGAGATCAAAAGATCATACAAATGGTGTGCGTGGAGTGTCAAATAATAAGTCTCTGCAGGTGACCAAGAGTGTCTCAGCATCCCATTCAGGGTTAACACAAAATCACATGCCTCTGCCAGTTGTCTTAACATCATCAAAAATCCTGAGACAGATTCCCCTGGTTCTTGAACAGCCAAATAAAACTGATAGCATCTCAGAATTAGAGGAGGCTTGGGATTGTAATATTTGTGAACTAAATCAGTCAACTCTTAAAAGGTTTTAGTATCTGGTGACTCAGGGAAAGTTAGGCTCCTAATAACTGAAAATGCTGTGGGTCCACAGGCAGTCAGAAGGATTACTCATTTCTTTTCATCTGCCCTAATGTCATTTTCCCAGAAAACAAATTGCATTCTTTCCACATGCTGGGCTCAGCTTTCAACAGCTGGATTGAATGAATCAAGTTTCCCAAATAAAAGCAAGATGCCAGAAATGCTTACCCTAATTCAAAGACGATAGTTGTAAGTGTTTCTTCAGGATCATGCTGTTTTCTATCGTTGCCATTGAAATAACTGCACAGAGGCTGGTATCCCATCACCCTTTATTTACATGTGTATAGCCAGCTTTGAGCCAGTCCCTAGAATGATGAGACTTTCTGAATCTCCTCTTTATAGCTGTCAGCTAGGGCTCCCTGATTGGCCCAGGTTAGCAATCCCAATCAAAGATCTCATGGTCAATTCATCCACCTGGTCTTGGTTCCAATCACTGCACTCTCTCTCTCCACAGATGCTGCCAGATCTGCTGAGTTTCTCCAGCACTTTCTGCAGTTACAACCTGCAACATTAACTCTGGTTCCCTCGCTCTCTCCCCCACAGACACTGCCATAACTGCTGAGCTTCTGCAGCACTTTCAGTTCTGTTTCAGATTTCCAGCATCCTGCAGTTCTCCATTTTACATTGGAAGTTTTTCCTGTCCCAGTGGGAGATTGAAAAAAAATGAAACAGGATGGCACACAGACTGCAGCAATACAAGAAGGTAGTTCACAACTGCCTCCTCAAGGGGCAAATAGAAATGGGCACTATTGCAGGCCCAACTAACGATACCCATGTCCCATGAATAAATGAAATCTTTGTTGATACAACATTCACAGGAATGTCATGACATCCAAGGCTATGGTCCTAATGTTGGCAAGTGAGACTAGCGTGGATTTAATATATTTTACAGTACAGACTCGATGGGCCAAAAGATCTATTCTGTAGGAATAATGCAGGAATATTCGTAAATAATATTTTTTTCTGAAGAAGGGTCCCAACCCGAAACGTCAGCTTTCCTGCTCCTCCGATGCTGCCTGACCTGCTGTGTTCTTCCAGCTCCACACTGTGTTATCTCTGACTCCAGCATCCCTTTGTAAATATCAATTTGTTTTAAAATCACCTATTCACAGACAAAAAGGTCAGGTAATACATTGGAAAAACATCTAACCTTGTTCTGCTTTGCGTTGCCACTCGTCTTCTTGAGTAATGGAAATGTGTTTACTAAACGGGGAATACACCCAATTTCCTAAAACCTTTGTTTTATAATTGCAACTGTAATTTCCAATGGAGTCAGTTCCCATCTTGATTACGAATGTCGCGGTCTTTTCATCTCCAGTTAGGTGAAGCAACTGTGTATAATTTTGATGGCGACTGTTGTACAGGTAGTAAGTACTTTCATTGGAGTGAATGTTGCCTTTGCAAGTAATGGCAATGGTTTGACCATCTGAATTGGACTGTGGTGCTGGGGATTTGTGAATTGTTGGTGGGGAGGGTTTATCTGCAATGAAGAGAGATGTTAGGAAACAGTGCAGCAAAACACAACCATGATTACACATGGGAAGATTCAAACATTTTGACAATCAACCCCAGAGACCCATGAAATGTTCCAGGACAAAGGTTCAAATCTGAACGTGGCAGATGATGGAATTTGAATTCAAAAATAGCCTGGAATTAAGAAGCTAACGATGACCGTCAACACAAGAGTTAGCAAATGGAGTCTAATGAGGGAAAATGTGAAGTTGTTCATTTAGGAACAAAAGAACAGAGAGCTATTTAAATAGAGAAACAGTGCAGAAAGCTGCAATACAAAAGGACTTGGGTGGGGGAGGTGATGGTGGACTTGTGCATAAGCACAGAAAGTGAGCACATGGGGCAGCAGGTAATCAGGAAGGGCTCAAGAAAGGCATTTCACGCAGTTGCCTTCATTGGTCAGAGCACTGAATATAGGAGTTGACACTTCATGTTACGGCTGTACACCGAACGGCTAATGCTACTTTTAGAATACTGTGTTCAATTTTGGTAGCTCTGCTATCGGAAGGATGTTGTTAAACTAGATAGGGAACAGATAAAATGTACAAAAATGTTGCCTGCTCTGGAAGGTTTGAGTTTTCAGGAGAGCCTGGATAGGCTGGGACTTCTTTTCCTAGAATATTGGAGGCAGAAGGATAACCTTATGGAAGTTTATAAAATCATGAGGGGCATATATAAGGTGAATAGCCAAAGGTCTGTTCCCCAGGGTAGGGGAGTCCAAAACTAGATGGCATAGGTTTAAGGTGAGAGTAAAATATTTAAAAGGGACTTGAAGGGCAAACTTTTCACACAGAAGATGGTGCGTATATGGATCAGCCCGAAAAGGTGGTAGAGGCAGGTATAATTACACCTTTTAAAAGACATTTGGACAAGTACATGAGTAGGGAAGGCTTTGAGGTATATGGGCCAAAGGCAGAAAAATGTTCTGTTTAGGATACCTGGACTGGTTGGACCTATGACACAATGAATGTTGGCTCTTATTTCAATGGGATTGGAGCATAATAGTAGGGCTGTCTTACTGCAACTGTACAAAGTGCTAGTGAGACCACATCTGGAGTACTGTGAGCATTTGTGGTCCCGTTACTTGAGGAAGGATGTAGCTGTGTTGTAGGCAGTTCAGAGGAAGTTCACAAGTTGATTCCAGAGATTAAGTCATTTATTTGTCAATTAAATCATAACTTTTCATGACTCTAAAGATGAAAGGCAAAATTTGTATTGCCAGCATGCCCATTGCATTTATTGCCTCCAGTTAAATCCATATAGATGTGCATGCAGATGTGAATATAAGTGGGGCAGTGTTGTTGTAATGTACAAGGCATTAATGTCTCTGCATTCAGAGTACAGCATAGAGTTTTGGTCTCCTTACTTGAGGACGGATGTAGCTGCGTTGGAGGCACTTCAGAGACGATTCACTAGGTTGATTCCACAGATGAAAGCTTGACACGAGAAGTGTTTGAGCAGTTGGGGCTTATACTCTCTGGAGTTTAGAAGAATGGAATGTAATTGAAATACATAGGTAGGAAAGGGGATTGGCAAAATAGACATGGAGATAAGGTTTCCTCACAGAATCATGGAGTCATACAGCAGGGAAACAGACCCTGTGGTCCAACCACATATGCCAAAACTATATCCACCATGCCGGACATAATCCCAAATTAAATTAGTCCCACCTGCCTGCTCCTGGCCCTTATTCCTCCAAACCTTTCCTATTCATGTACTTATCCAAATGTCTTTTAAACATGTAATTGTACCCATATCCACCACTTCTTCAGGAAGTTCATTCCACATGCAAACCACCGTGTAAAACATTTGCCCCTCATGTCTTTTTCAAATCTCTCTGCTCTCACCTTAAAAATGTGCCCCCTAGTCTGAAATCCCCCAGTAGGGAAAAGACAACTACCATTAACTCTATCTATACACCTCATTATTTTATAAACTTCTCTAAGGTTGCCTCTCAACCTCCTATGCTCCGGTGAAAAAGTCCCAGCCCATCCAATCTTTCTTTATAAGTCAACTTTCCATAGCCTGGTAAATCTCTTTTGAACCACCTCCAGCTTAATAATATCCTTCCTATAACTGGGCAACCAGAACTGGACACAGTATTCCAGAAGAGGCCTCACCAATATCTGTAAGAAGAGGTCATCATTTTAGGTTATCTGGTAGGCAGATTTAAAACAAAGAATAACTTCTCTCAAAGCCTCATGAACCTGTGGAATCCACTACCCCAGAGTGTGCAGTGGATGCTGGGACACTGAATAAATATAAGGGGAAGACAGACAGATTTTTGATCAGTGACAGCTTAAAGGGAGCAGGAGCAGGAAAGTGGACTTGAGGCCGAAATGTAATCAGCCATAACAATATTGATAGGCTCCCGAGGGCCTGAATGGCTTACTCCTGCTCCTAGTTCTTACATTAATCTGTGCGGACCTGCTTGCAATTAGCCGATGTAAGCATGCACTTTAGTAAAAAAGGTGGGACATCAATATAGTCCAATTTTCAACTGAGAGTGCTGAACCAATGTACAAGTGTTGACATAAATCCAGCTCGTTAAATTCAACATGTACTTTTTTTTCTAATTACCATAGGCATGAAACATTTTCATGGTATTTTCGAACAGCATACACAATACTATATCCGCAATCATTGCAAATTTATTAGTTTTCTGTGTATGAGATTGTTGACATTATTACAACTCTTGCTGATTTTTCATTACTTTTATCTTATTCTTTCATCAATTTGATTTGGAGCTGTGAACTCTGAGCAGCTATTTGTTTTTATTATATAAAAAAGAGAATAGTGTTGTTTATTTGTGAGGCCAGACCTCTCAGTTAATTGCAGATTGGTTCTTGATCAAAGGACTTTACAGAATCTTTGGCACCAGTATATCTAACCAGAGAGCAGATGTTTGGTCATTAACAAGGTCCATACCTGGGAATTGGGGCCAGCAACTCTGGGAGAGAACATGATGGTCAAACAGAAGGAGGAGCTGGAAAGTTTGAACTGTTTCTTATTTGGACTGTGCTTCAGAGAGAACAAATTAGGCTATTGACGCTACAGCATGAAGGTTTGAAAGCTCCCTGTCTAACCTCCCATTATCAGCCATTGGAAGTTCAGAGAATAGAAACTAAGTTCCAAGTATTACTGAAGTTTTCCGAAGAGTGGAACAAAAACAAAGTTGCTGGAAAAGCTCAGCAGGCCTGGCAGCATCTGTGGAGGAGAAAACAGAGTTAACGTTTCGGGTCCAGTGACCCTTCCTCAGAACTGTTCTGAGGAAGGGT